AGAATATTGATATTAATTTAAGAAAAAAAAAACATGTTGCCATTTTCTCAACATTGTCTTATCATAATTCTGTATTGTAGCATTGTGTGGTGTTTTTAATATATTTTGCCTATGTGTGTATACAAGTTTTTAACTGTAATGTCTCAATACTTATCTTAGTATCAATTCCTTATTAAATGTTTTTGTGTCTCTTTCGTTGTCTGATTGTTTTTGTGCTTTGTTTTTGTTTTATCAATTTTTTTCTTATGTGTCCTGTGCTCTGTTGTGTTGTTGTGTTGGTGCGTCATTCTGTACACCTGTTAGACCATTTAAAAGTGCATTCACTTTCTTAATAATAGCTGTACTGAAAACTCAATCAAAAAGAAACCGGAACCAAACAGGCACATACAAGGTGATGTACCAAAAATATAACTGCCCCTCTGGGGGAGAAGCCACATGACTTTTATCAAAGTGCTGCAGATTTGGTCTGGGGTTTATTAAAGTGACACACTCGCATTAAATTTAGACTTTAACTTGACGTTTTTACGCTTCATGCAAACTTTTGCAAATATAATCTTCAGGCAAGCGACCATGCAATGTGATGTCCAATTTTGATCTGTGTTCCCAAAGAGCTGAGCAAATCCGTCCTGAGCAGGTTACAATAACAAAACTGTCAAGTTCATTGTCGATAACTTCACAACAGAACCAGCCAAACTAACTGAGCCGTTCTGAAACCCCCTCTCCGGTTTATCCACATGTGCTCTGCGCCCTGGAGCTTAAACCACAAGTTAAAACAGTGTGCGTAATGATCGTGGCTCCTACCTTTAACCACACATACACCTCAGGAATCAGTCCGACTCTCTTTCCACCTTGACGTCCACTTTTTCCCAGCTCACACCTCTCCGCCACCGCTCCTCTCTCTCTCCCACTTCAGTTTATTCTGGGCTGCGCTCGTCTCTCGCTTCTCCCCATGAAACTGCAACAAGGCACAAACACATGCGATCACTCCAGAGCAGATTTCCCCTCTGGATGACAACAAACTCACAACGTCTCGACACTTTCAGCCCTGGACACCAGCCTGTTTGGAGAGGATCTGTCCAGAAGTGATAGAGTGAGAGAAGAGGAGAGACGCGCTCCCGACTGACTGCTGGAGCCCAGAGACGCCAGCAGGAATGTAATTACACGAAGACTGCTGCATGTTGCCAAACCTGCAGACATGCTCTTGTTTACAGGCGCCCACTGCCGCTATTCTGCGCCGGGATGTGGTCTGCATGCGCGGGGCTGGTGTCTGGACTGATGTGGTCCTGATGCGAGTTTTTTTTTTCCATGCACGTCGCTCTGTTGTTTCTGTCACACCTTCAACAAAGGAAGGGGAGAGGGAGGGAGCGGGAACCTTGCCTTGACTTTCTTTTGTCTTGTCTGTTGTTGTTTTTGAACACAGCACCTCTGGATGAGGCAATATGGATCAGCTCGCGTGCGTAATCTCATCTCTGATCATATCCGTTTCATTTATTTATTTTTACTCCCCATAATGACAACAATGATGATGATGATAACAACACATGAAATAATATAAGTCTGGTTGCATTTTGTTCTACCGCACCCTCTTCTCCATCCAATCTCACCAAATTCTGTCTCCTGAAGTTAAGTCCTCGCTGGGGAGTGTGCCGTCTCTCTCTCCTCCCTTTCTCTCTATGTCTATCTCCCTCTGTCTCTGTCTCGTTCTCCTCACCTCTCCCTCCCTGTGGTTGTCTCCTCTCCCAGGCGCTGGCAGAAGAGTTATGTTTCGCTCCAGACAGACCCAGCCTTCAGCCGCCACGGCACGCACTCACAGCCGCCTATCAACGAGCGCGGTGACGACAGCCTCACTGCGAGTCACCAGTGCCACACCCATCCATTCATAAAGTGGACAGAGTGATAGAGAGAGAGAGAGAGAGAGAGAGAGAGAGAGAGAGAGAGAGAGAGAGAGACCAGTGTCCAGACCGGCCAGTGCGCAAAGAGCATCCATCATATAAAATGGCTATGATATCCTTGTCTCATATTTTTGTGTCTGTTTGAAATTGGGACTTTATAATATAGGTTTTAATACAGACATGACATGACATGTTCACTGTAGCCTAATGTGGACATGATGAAAACTTAACTAATTAGATTTTACTTGTGCAAACGTGTTATTAATAGAAAAACATGGCCATGATCCCCCAAGAATATACAGCTTTTAGCTGATGGTCTACATGCATCGATCCATCCATGCATCCATACCGCTTATCCTTTGAGGGTTGACGGGGGAGCTGGATGTGAGATTAATCAATAGGCCTAATAAAATAATTGCTATGAACCTTATCCGCAGTGCAAATACTGCAATAACAATATGTATTTGTATATAGTCTAGTACGATGTGAACATTTACCAGAGGGTGTTCAGTCTTGGTGAAGAGCAGTACAGCTTTGTGTTTACTGCCTCTATAGCTTGAATACAGGTCTTCCTCGCTCAGTCACTCGTCCACCTGATGAACCTGCTGCCTCTTTGTGCATGGTTGTGTAACATTGCACAATGGACAGTGTTTAATTAGTTGAAGGCATTTGGCACCTTTGTTTTTATCCTGAGAACACCCAGTTCATTTTAAAATACTGGGTGGATGCTCAAGCACTATACAAATATGTCACCACCCACAGGAAAGATGCTGCACAGCCATAGTTCAGTACAGATACTTTAGAGTGCAGCAGGTCTTAGAATAAACTATGAATTAATCATCTGGTATATGTGTGTCCTATCTGTGTTACTCAGAGACAGAAACGCAGCATCTCCTCATGAACAATTAACTGTTTGGCATCTCTGAATAACCACAGTCCTGATCTTAACGGGCTTGGACAATCTCCGACCAGGCCCAACAGTCACAACTTAATCAAGCCAAACCAAATTTCACACTCTCATACATATCAGTTCCCCAAATGTGTCTGATTTTTGATTTTCTGAATGCTAGAGAAAGAAAATAATAAATAGACGAAATGTTTTAATTCAAAATTTTGGCATGAGTTCTGTCTTGGCCAATGTTCTATCCCTTCACCAGGTTTCGTGGAAATGTCTTTAGTTTTTGCAGTGTTTGCTGGTGACAAACAAATGAACAAATGGACAAACGGACAGGGGTGAAATTAAAATATCCATGTCAAAAGTCCTTATTGCCTACTGACATGATGACTGACTGTGTGATGAAGATTAGAAGCGGTTCGTATCCTTGAGATTTTGGAGTTAAAATTAAAAATCCACTTAGAAACAGGCAGGGACAGGATGTTACTGTACAAAACGAGAAAAAGAAAAAGTCTAATTCAGTGTCAACTCGTTTATTTGAACTGTGGCTATTTCAGTATTTCAGCATAAGCCTTCCTCAGCATTTCTTTAAAAACCTCTATTGTCTATATTCCAAACTTGGCAAAAGCATAAATGTCAGGACACTGAGAGGCCGTGAGAGGCCCCCCTGTCTCTCACAGATTCTCTCAGACCCCTGCTCAGCCAAGCATCTGAAACAGCCATTGTCCTGTGAAGGGAACGGAGCAACCTGCCCAGGCTTGCTCCTGTCTCAGCATGCATGCAAGTCCTCTAGGCAACCATCCTCAGGCTGTGGCCAGCAGCTAGCATGACAGACACACACACACCAGATCAGAAGAGTGATGGAACATCGTGCTGCAGACATGACATGGATAGCATTGAGATGAACAAACTGCTGTGAATGCTAAAGCATGTGCCTCCTTTCTATTCTACATCAAGTGTTTCTGCTGACATACAGTATGAAACAATAATGGTCATATGAGTGTGTGTGTGTGTGTGTGTGTGTGCGTGTGGTCTTTTCACCTCTCTGCTTTTACTGAACCTTTCTCTCAAAGTGTCTTGTGCAGCACTTTTCCATTACCATCGGCCTCTGCTATAGCACCACTGATGCAGCCATATGGGCACAATAGGGGCACAACAGGGGCGTCTGGGTGGTTTGACCCCCTGTCTCTCTGTCAGTCTTTCTCCTGAGGGGGCAAACTGCTGATCCCAGGGCTGTGAAAGGCATGCATCAGCTACATTTCAACAAACAAACACAGTTTGGCCTGCGCATTTGCACCCCCGCCACAGACTGACCCACAAATACATTCGCACACAGAAACAAACAATACACAACTCGCAGCACAAACAAAGAAAAAGATGATCTTTGTTCCACTCAGATCGATTTCACTCAGCAAATCTGTATCTCCGATGTGGCATTTCAGAAGCCACAATGGCCTTTGACACCAGCCATCGCACGACCACAATGAAATCCAACTTTGGACACTGAGTGGCCACAATGGGCCTCTCTTTGCTGCAGAGCCTCTGCCATTCTTCTGCCTGATCTCTTGGACAAAGCGGCGTACAGAAGTACCAATTGAGCTTGAACAATCGCTTACAAAGGAGTCACTGACTTGATGTTTCCAGCCCTCTTGCCAACTGTACCACATTCGGTGCAGCAGAGTGTGAAGGTTAACTGGCAATCTGTGCACAGAAAGATTATCACAACTTGACTCTGTGGCACAGTTATTGACTTGTAAACAACTGTTTTGTGAATTTCCCAATTGATTTGAGACAGACTCAGGATCTGGCAGTTAGAATATATTATTTAACATAACAAATAACACAGAGAGGTTTTAAATCTCATTTTACAATATGATTTAGGAAAACTTAAAATCTAGGATGTATCGACTGAATTCTGAGTGACTATATCATGCATGCTTTTTTGCCATCTTGCCTGGAGTTCTAATTTGCACATAGATCATCTGCTTAGAAATGAGGAAGGACATTAAATGTAACGTGCACTGCACACACTGAGTAAATGAAATAGAACATTTGACTAACTTCAAATAAAAATGTGATATCTGACAACAAAAGACAAGAGGCTGCATTTGAGGACAGATTGCGTCCCAGCGCTGCGACTAGGATGTCCCATCAAAGGATCCTTCAAATGCTGCCGACAAATGTGTTTTTCCATCCCAAAGGAACGAAGGCTCCAATGGGTGGCTCCTTTCCGGACCAACATATCACAGGCTTTTAAACCCTTAGGGTGGGTGACAAGACATCCAATGATTGAGTATCACACTTCAACTCGATCAAACAGCTAATGGTACACTAAAGTTTCTTGTTTTCATGTTGATGTTTCGAACTTCAGTTCTGTTGCTAGGCGACAGCAAAAAAAAAAAAGCAGGACAAGCTGTTGACGCCAATCACAGAAATCCTCTGTAGACCAGGCCGTCTCAATTTGGTTCGGCCCTCGCAGCCTACGCAGCCCAGGAAGACTTCCTCCTTTGAGGGACGCGATCTGATGATCTGATGGACCTGAATCAGATCACACACATAATCACTTTAATGGTTTTCAACAAATGTGACTTATAGGAACAATGACTGTGGGTCAGACAGAAGGAGAAAGCTCAACCACATCTCACCCAAGGATTTTGCTGAGTAAGGAAGTGGTTGGTAACATCCTCTCACTGCAATATTACTGGACCACAGGCTCCATCTGATCCTCTGGGAAGGCTGTTTGGATAAAACCTCCCTGAGAATTGTACAATACCCTCCATACCCACTGAAGTACCAACTGGTGCCAAACATTTTTTGGGTTGAATTTCTGTCACGTCTGTTGCAGCCAAGTAAAGCTGAAATGAACCCTGAGCCAATGTGCTTTAAACACTTTGACCTTTCATGACCCCATTAGTATGAATATGTTTTCATATGAAACATCTTTGTGCATATATGTTTATAGACCTGTGTAATTCTTGGAGATGACTGAGGGACCAGGTGTCAGTGTGGACAGAGATCTGTGAAGATGACAGAAACACTGCCAGGAGTTAATCCCTCAGTCTGTCCATGAATCCACCCACCCCCATTAAGACCCCTTGAGGGGAGGGCCGTCCTCTCCTGGACCAGCACCCATCCAATTCTCGGCGCACTCTCCAGGCTGCTTGTGTCCCTTCTGGGCGTCACTCAGGTGCTATGAATAGAAGCTGACGTACGCTCAGTGCTGTCAGATGGGCATTGGCACGTGTGGCTCATGTCAGCACGGCCGCAGCGCAATGCTCCCGACTGGCGTCACTGCACCGACAGCACATTTGGGTCGCCATGGAAACAGGGATGAGCAAAGCTACCTCTGCCCTTACATCCATTGGTTGCGCTTTCCAGACAAACTCACTTTCTCTCTCTGTATTTCCTCCTGTTTTTCTTTCCTGTCTGTTCCTCAATTTTGTTTCTCTCCTTGTTTACGTGACCTGTGATGCCCAATTGGGTTTTTGATGATTTTATAGTCATTAATTGTTAAAGTCTTTGTTCTCATTGCCTTAATGAAAACTACAGGAACACATGTCTACTTGTATTTACGCACTGTCTGGGCCTTCAAGTCTTCTTTGGGTAAATGTGTGTGTTTAAATGGCCAAAGCAAGCGCAAGGTTTTCCAATTACATGAGTC